AACTTTTCAAAACGCCAGAGACCTAAGAATTTCTTAATTTAAACTGACTTTTCTGACATCAAAATATAGCTTTTTGACAGGAATATTCAACAGTATGTGTTAATAGTATTTCCTTTGCATATTAAGTGTGCTTCAATTTTTTTAGTTACTGCTGTCTCGTTTCTTTTGAGGAAATTCATCGTTATTTACTGATGTGAGTAAGGGAATATAGATAACGAAATTTTAAAAAATCGGAGACCTAACAATGAGATAAGATAAACTGATTTTTTTTATACCACCAGAAAGGTAAATCTATGTAGAATTCGGTCGTATGTGTTAATAAGAATTCAGAAGATTAATAAAAATAATATGAAGAATTAATGAAGGGTACCCATTTATTTTCCCATTACTTTCTATGTTAATCGAACATCATTAAAAACGTTGCACCCCGGGTGTCGCTGATAAGGGTAATCGGCCATTAGTGTCCTTCATTCTTGGGTATGTATGTCACTGACCACAGAGAATCGGCATACAACAGGTTAACAATTTAAGCAGCAAATCTTCTGGCAGGAACAATTCTAACCTGGATGTTAACGTGGTATCGTCTATACTCATGTAGACATCCCTGATTTGTGTATGCGTGAAACTGTTATTAAAATCGATAGATCTAAACAGAAAATAGACTGCATGATAAAAGGCAAAGTTAACAAGCAAAATGATGGGCTAATTAACATTTAAATCAGCTTAATTTATCAAGATCTACTATTTCAAGATTGAGCGACGAAAAGTCCTCTCTGTAAAAAACGGTTACCGATATGTCGAAAAAAAAAATATATAACGTACTATATCGCCGACTAAGAGATAAAGTTGCGCAAACCGAGAAAAGTCTAAACATGAGGCGCCAATAAAACTGTGCAATGAAACCAAGTCAAGACTGTAGAGTCCGAATGTATGCGGCCGAATTACCAATATAAACGAATCGATCAAAAGCCTCCGATGTAAATTCGTTGCACAATAAGGTTCAGGTTTTAAGTGAGCTACTCTTAGACAATATCAGTAAAATTTCGAAATGAAACGAAAAACAGCGAAACGAAACAAAGCACTGGGAAACGAAACAAAACCTGACGAAAGGAAACGAAATTTGTATAGTGCGAAACGAAACACAACGAAACGAAACAAAATCTGTATTTTAAGGAACGACTCATAGAAAGCTCATAGAAAGCATAGAAACTCCAAATCGTCTCGAGTCGAAAAGCAAAATAAAATAACCGTTTCATTGTTTAATGGAAATACAGCAGCATATAACATTGAAAAATCATGCAATGATCAACCTTAAGAAACATTACATTTCCGACATTCATTTTTCTGTAATTTAAAAGGGCGATTCTAAATCAAATATGAAATACTGTTCATCCATCATTTATTACAATTCTATCTGGTTTCTGGTCAGTTACAGTCCGTTGGTAATTCTAGGCTACTACAATTGCTAAGCCAGACCCACTGTCCCAGGTCACGGGAGGATTGAGCGCTCACAAACATGTTTAACCCCGCAACATTATTTGTGTGTCTGTCCCAAGCCAGCAGCCTGTAGTTCAGTGGTTTTCGTTGATCCATGTCTGTCATGTTTGTATTTCGTGAATTGTTTTGTTATAAATTAGGTCGTTAGTTTTCTCGTTTGAATTCTCATTTTTCATGTATGGGCCTTGAGTAGTCGACTAAATGGTATGGGTTTTTCTCATTATTGGAGGCCGTATGGTGGTCTATAATTGCTTGCATCCATTTCATTTGAACTCTGGTGGATAGTTGTTTCATTGGCAATCGTATCACATTTCCTTTTTTATTTCCTTTTTTATATTAGTTGATTTTTACATTTTGCACTCTCATAAAGTACCAAAAAAGAAACGGAAAAAAAAGAAAGTTTCACCGCTAAGGTTTTGAAAATCAACCATCTTCGGATCCATCGACTAGTTTATGACTCTACAAAATCTGAAAATTCGAATAATGAACGATTGCTAATCTCATATATAAGTTACAAGGAACTTTTAAAACCAGGGACTATGTAAAATCCCTGAAATATTCAGAGTTTGTAAAATTGCTAGCAGTTTTGGTAATTTTGTAAAAAACCTGAAATTCTAAGTAATTTTATAAAATCACTGAACATATTGCTAGGGATTTTGTAAAATGAGATGTTGAAACGATACAAATATCATGAATGTATAAGGAATGTATTCTTTCTTAAATAGAATGACGTGTTTGACTACAAATTATACAGACATAACCGTATAATAATATAAAAATGAGAAGATGCGGTAAAACTCTTTTGAGTACAGTGATTATGAATAAAAGGCATGTTTAAAGCTACAAAGATTTCAAATTACCGTAATTAATTTTCCATGATATGATGATAGGATGATGTCTACTTAGCCAACGCTAGGCTATGCTTATTTTATTTACAGCTTTTGTTTCCAGAACAACCAGATGATACATGATTGAATCAAACCATGTCCAACACAAATGACAGATAGTTTCACTGCTTTATAAAAGATATAAGCCATATAAAAAATCCCAACCCTGGAATGTATAATATTTTTGCACATGGCAGATCTTAGTATACATACCTGTACAATACACACACTCTACATTTTATCATACTTGAACTTTTGGCTAGGATGCATCATTCTTTAGCCAAACAAAGATTGGAATAAAGTATCACCAGCAAAACCTCAAACCAAATTACACAGACAACTTTATGGATGCACTCCGGCGGATGACTAATGAAGTCCTGCTTAAAACATTCTCTAGAAGTAAGAAGATGTGGTATAATTGCTAATGAGACAACAACTCTCCATCAGAGACCAAATGACATAGGAGTTTACAACCATAGGCCACCGTACGGCCTACAGCAATGAACAAACCCCATACCGCATAGTCAGCTGTAAAAGACCCCGAAATGAAAAATGTACGAAAAATTTTCAAACGAGAAAACTAACTGCCTGATTTATGTACAAAAACAAGGAACGAATACAGCCACAAACGACAACCACTGAATTACAGGCTCCTGTCTTGGGACAGGCACATACAGAATGTGGCAGGGTTAAACATGTTGGCGGGCGTCCAATTAACCCTCCCCCTAACCTGGGACAGTGGTGTAACAGTACAACATATGAACAAACTATAAAAATTGGTTGAAAAGGGCTTAACTCATCAGATAGATACAAAGCAGAAAAACAAGTATAACAAAAACACAGACTGGAAGTGGCAGGGTATATACATCCCTATGACAAAAACCTTCGGACACTAAATAGATATAAGACTAAGTACAGACTTGAGAGTCCTCGAGGGCAGTTACTAACAGCTAGTTCAAAGCCAATATCAACTAATAAAAAAACCACGTATCTAAGACTCAACTTAAACTAAACTGTGTAGTTTATAAATAAAAGAAGAAATGTAATAAATTGTAAAGCAACTTCACACAGGCATGTGAGGGGAAGTGATATAAAAAAAACTGAAAAAGATTAAAAATTGTCAAATTGAACTATGATGACATAGATAGATATAAGGAGATGTGGTATGAGTGCCAATGAGACAACTCTCCATCCAAGGTCACATTTGTATGTTTATTAAAATGCAGGTCCAATAGCAAGTAGTTTGTTCCCGGTGTCTGTTCTTATTTTCTTTTTTTTTGTCTTTATTATCAATACATTTTTGTGTGTAGATTAATGCAGTTCAAGACTAAAGGGACCACATATATAGACTTTGTAATCCACTTACATATAAAAAAAGAAGATGTGGTACGATTGCCAATGAGATAATTCTCCACAACAGACCAAATGACACAGAAATTAACAACTATAGGTCACCGTACGGCCTTCAACAATGAGCAAAGCCCATACCGCATAGTCAAGCTATAAAAGGCCCCGAAATGACAAATGTCAAACTATTCAAACGAGAAAATTAACAGCCTGATTTATGTACAATATCATGAACGAAAAACAAATATGATATACAGCAACAAACGACAACCACTGAATTACAGGCACCTGACTTTGGGCAGGCACATAAAGAATGTGGCGGGGTTAAACATGTCAGCGGACGCCCAACCCTCCCCCTAATCTTGGGACAGTGGTGCAACAAAAACAACACAAGAACTGTACAAAACAATATTGAACAAACAACATAATTATATGATCAGCAGGCGTGAACAAACAACAACCACTAAATTACAGGCTCCTGACTTGGGACAGGCACATACAGAATGTGGCGGGGTTTAACATGTTTGGCGGGCGCCCAACCCCCCCTAACCTGGGACAGTGGTGTAACAACACAACATATGATCCACTTAAATAGGCAGTTTATCTCAATCCCAGTCGATGTTAAATAAAATCTTGGGATAACAAGTCCAGATACTAATAACTTGAATCCAAAGTTTTAATAACAAATAATGTATTCATTTTTTTAAAATTCTCTGAATTAAACTTCTGAATATGTAAACAAAGTTCTCAATTATTTCAGTGATTTTATAAAATCCCTAATCGTTTACAAAGTCACTTGTAAATGCCAGAAATAATTGCGTTAAACAGTTATAATTCTTTCAGTAAATACTCATTATATATTTATTAACTAGTGTACTCATCATAACATAAGACCAATATAATCAACGATTACAAGTTGACATGCTAAACAAACAAGTAATATTAATTATTTAGGAAGTCGCTTGGCAGGTGCGCCGTAATTTACACATGTTTAATCCGTCTGCGGTCCGTAGTCAATGACGCCTTTTTTCGGAACACGCAAACCCCACGTTTTCTTCACCCTTCTTGGCTATTAAAATTCCCCACAAAGTCTACATTTCAGACTGCAATGTTTGTGTACACATAGGTATGAATTATATAAGTTTTTATCCTCTAAATCCTTAAATCGTACAGAACAGAAGGGAATCAATAGGTTAACCGGGGATCGATACGTGACGCGTGGATATCCTCGGATTTTATTGGACAATTAACTGGTTCATATTTAATAAGTGTCGCATAAGTAATGACATCAAAAATGTTGAAAGGACGATGCATTCTCATCGATGGAGGTCACAAACCGTAGAAAATGTGAGCTAATTTTACACCGTATCTCCTTAATGAACTGGCAGACTGTGTTAAAATGAGAAAATCTTGGCTAATATTGTGTCAGTTACATCTATCGCATCCCCAGCAGCTGAATCCGAGAAGAGCATCGTAGTTTGTCAGGATGACAACTAGACGACCATCCCTGCCTCCCATGCCAGACCTCAGCCATCTAGATGAGGCAGAGAGGAAGATAATTGAGGATGTTATCAGGAGACAACAAGAGGAGGAGGACAAAGAACAAGATATGATTAGGTATACAATCAGTCTGTTTAGACGGCCATATTGGGGGTCTCATAAGGAAAAAGAGGGGGAGGGTGTAGGTTTTGTCCTCTTTTGATTGTTAACAATTTAAGATAGCCACACCATTTGATATGAAAAGCCAGTTAAAGGGTTTGAAATATTTACGTTCTTTAACTAGTAAAATTGTATAAAATACAGTTAAAACATCACCAACACAGCACGTTATTACTGTCCTATTAAAATAAAGTTGTCATGTGTGGGACCTACTTATTTTCAGAAAAGATTGCACATAGTTTCCAACCATCAGATTACTACAGAATAATCTTAAATCGTTCAAATATATATCATGTGTATATATTAATTGGTATAAAATAACCACATATAGCAACAAGATTCAAGATCAAATGCATTATAGTTGTTGAAATCATTATTTAGTTAACTATAATGTACATATGAGTTAATCAAGCAACAATTTTTGATGTAAGATAAACGGAACAAATGTTTATTCATCTCCCTTGTAACATTAAACAATCAACAGGTTGCCTGAAAAAAATGTACAAATGGTGTAAGCATACTTTTTTGGACAATAATTTCGAGTACATGTAGTTCACTGTGGATTTCTTCTTCACACTGGTTTGCTTTTGCCATCAGAAACACAAATCTAGTGAAATTATGTCATTGAATTTACAGTTAGCAAATGGTTAGAATATTTTTTCATCATGTTGACATATGTGGTCCGTGTTGAAGACCATACTTTGACCTATAATGGTTTACTTTTATAAGTTTTGACTTGGATGGAGAGTTGTCTCTTTGACACTCATACTTATATTTGTTCCGCCTAACAGAAGTTCCACTGGAAACTTTGTTATAAACAATGTCATAATATCAATGTTCCTGTTGGAACAAATATTCTATACCATTTATTCCGTTAGGAACATTTACTGTAATATTTGTGGAAATAATATACCAGAATATTGTTTCCATTTGGAACTTATATTATGAAGGAACTTCTATTCCGTGACAATACCACATCTTCTTATATCTATATATGCAGAAACAGAACATACATTGCTGTAAATGATCCACTGTTGTAATGTTGCATTATAAATTTGAAATACTGTACACATGTTACATGCACATTTAAATGTAGTGTGAAAAAATAAAGTACAACATGTACAATAAAAAGTATTCCCTGTCAATACCATTAAAACTGAGTGACCCTGCAACATCAACCCGTCTTGCCGAAGGATATTTTATCATGATGTGGGGTCAGACTATATATCATTATAGAATAAAACTCTTTCATCATTAAGTTTGTGTTAAAAACGCACTCTCGTCCTAATCAGATTTACTAGATATATATAGATTTGTGTTTTTGGAATCTGTTGTTGTTTCAATGACATTTTCGCAATATTTCTTCATGTTCTTAATGATAACATTTAGTTACTAAACCCTCGCCCTATGACAATCATAGTATTTCTTATGAGTTTGAATATCCCTTTGGTGTGTCTCTTTCATTCAAATAAGCTAAATTTTCCCATGTGATGGAATAGTCAGCATTGTTTTAAAAAACAGAACTTTTTATATTTGCTGATTTGGGCATGTCGGCCGTAGCATGCCTATAGAGGTAGCTGTGAAACCAAAATAGTCTTGATGATATTTTTTGACAATTTGCAGGCAATAGATGTCATAGAAAAATATTGACTAATATGAACTATATACATTGACAAGCTACACACAGCCTATAAACAATGAAAATTTTGGAAATATGTGTGGCCTGAACCTAGGTCACAATTGCGATTGTTTTATAATAACATTGGTATAATCCTTAGCTCTAGGGTCTGCAAATTGTTGAAAAATATAAAGACTATAAGAGTTACAGTATGGTAAGCAAATTGTCAAAACACATCATTAAGGATCATATGAAAAACAAAAAGAAAATGAAAAAAAAAAAAAAAAAATTCTTCGGCTTCCTCCACACTAAAAACTTAACAACACAACATAGCACAATTGTGTTGAATGTGGCATTAAACACTAATCAATCAAATAATGTAGATTTCTGTCATGATGATTTTGTCAAGAAAAAGAACAAACAACAGGTAAAAAAAATTAGCAGTTATCACAGTTACTCCTGGTATAAAATTTACCTGTAAGTAACAATTAATAATTATTATTAAGTCCAGATTTGTAAATATAAAAATTTTAATAACATTTTAAACATGTTAAAGGCGTTACTACTTTAATAAGAGACTAAATGTAATATTTACATGAAAATGAAGATGTGTAGTATACATGTACTTGTCAATGATCAACTGATGACTGAAAACTGTTTTAAAGACAAAAGGATGAATTAAGATGTCAAAAATTACAGGATAGCTAATTTTGTTGAGAAATCACAATAATGAATACTATAGTGTAGGGATTATCTGACCAAAATATAAAATACTTGTGTTTAAAGGGGATTACTTGACCAAAATGTAAAATACTTGTGTTTGAGGTTTCCTTTTCTATTCTATTTTTTATGCCTTTAATTGTCCACCTTACAGTTTTTTTTCGGGCACTTTTGGTAGTGAATCTTGGAACAATTACAAGTTATTGTCAAGTATTCTTATAATGAACCAATCAGGCCAAAATAATAAAAAAACTCATAACAAATGAAGTAAATCCTACCAGTACATGACTTACCTATCCTATATCTTTAGGAGGAAACATAGATATAAAAAAGAAGATGTGGTATGATTGCCAATGAGACAACTCTCCACAAGAGACCAAATGACACAGAAATTAACAACTATAGGTCACAGTACGACCTTCAACAATGAGCAAAGCCCATACCGCACAGTCAGCTATAAAAGGCCCCGAAATGACAATGTAAAACAATTCAAACGAGAAAACTAACGGCCTAATTTATGTACAAAAAATGAACGAAAAACAAATATGTAACACATAAACAAAAGACAACCACTGAATTACAGGCTCCTGACTTGGGACAGGCACAGAATGTGGCAGGGTTAAACATGTTAGCGGGATCTCATCTCCCCCCCTAACCTGGGACAGTGGTGTAACAGTACAACATAAGAACGAACTATAAAAATCAGTTGAAAGACTGCAATTTGATTGGATAGCACAGAGGTCTGTCCAATAGCCCAGCGTTTAAATGCTATAAAGCTGATTAATGAAGTGCTAAAATGGTCCTGGGAGAACACTACCTGGTATAGTCTACAATACTCTTCAAAAACAACCAACAAAAATTAATACATTTAGCTGTGCCAAACTTCATCAAATACATGCATCAAATTTAAAACTTATTAGATATTATATTAAGTTTTGTGTTGATTGTCTGAGCCTGCGGCTAGACGAATTTTCAGATACAATACCATATTATCTCCCCTTCACCTTGAGATCATTCAACATTAGAATACTTAATGACACAATAACAAATGATTGGTTCTGGTAGCCACATGTTCAAGTATAGAAACTGTCCAAAACACACATTTATCAAAATCATTCCTGTTTGACAAAATTTTCATGCTTTTCCCTAATCCAATAACAAAATTTTTTGACTGGTTAATTGTATTGACTTGATAAAAGAAACAACTTCTGGATTTGAGATAGACAACTTTTGAATTTGTGCACTTTCCCGTAAATTTCCGATGTCACAATATAATGCTTATTTTATTACGTCACAGTAAGAACAAAACAATTGTTCGATGACATGTTTTACATGGATTGACCTCAGGTTAATTGGTGTATTATTATTAGTGTAACTCATTCATAAAAAACAACTTAAGATTCATTTATACTGTCTCAACCCTAGAAAAAATGTAGAAGTTGACACTCAGTGCCTTTGCAAAACATGACTTCACTTACTCCTTCAGTTGGTCTGTTTGTTTTTCAAAATTGTTTTGCACTAGCAGTACATTCATTGAAATTGAACATCAAAAATACTTTTACTTTTATAAGCTTTTTTCTGCCAAGTAATGATTAATTGATTTGATGGTGTTTAACACCACTTTCTGACAGCACTATTGTGCTATATTGTGGCATGTCAGTTTTAATGGCACATGCAACATGGGGGATTCAAACTCACAACTTCAGTGTAGACGGACTAGTGATACAGTAGTTCAACGACTTAGACCACTCTGCCACCTAGGCCCCTTGCCAAGTAATGTGATCAAATATCTTTTTGTTTCCAATGGTTGTCTACATGGGTTGACTTGTTGTGTCCCAATGGTTGTCTTACATGAGTTATGTCCCATGGTTGTCTACATGAGTTATCTCCCATGGTTGTCTACATGAGTTATGTCCCATGGTTGTCTAAATGAGTTGTGTCCCATGGTTGTCTACATGATTTATCTCCCATGGTTGTCTAAATGAGTTGTGGTCCATGGTTGTCAAATGAGTTGTGTATAATATTCCAAGCTCTATATCACACCAATTCTGAGGATAATGGATTCAAATAAAATTTACAGAGACTGTCATAAAACACTGAGGGATATACAACGCAAATAATCAAAAGAAACTAAAGATAAATATAGTCTTAAAATAAAAAATCCCAGGTATGACCATATGTCAACCTTAAAATAAGCCCAAGTTTTGAATGAATTAAATAGAGACTTTCAAAATTTTTCCGTCAACAATAAATTCTCTAGATCTAAAGAAATATCAAATCCTGGTCCCCCCCAAAAAAAACCCAATAAAACGTAGAGCTACCCCCCCCCCCTCAAAAAAAAAAAAAAAAAACCCAAAAAAACAAAACCAGCAAACAAATCAAAATGACTAAATACCTCCACTAACATGATTCCTGATTTGTATTGGGCACATAATGGGTTAATATAGTTTTTAAGCACACTGTGGCCAAAGGACAATGTGAGCTATTGCCATGACTTTTGAGTCTGTCATCCATCGTCTGTAAACTTTCCTTTAAAATTCTCCTCGTATAAAACTTCTCAATGGATTGAAACCAAAGTTTGTCTGCTCCATTTATAGAATGTCAACTACAAAGTTTGTGA